AATATTAGAACTGAATTTTAGAACTTTTAAGAATACTTACATACACTTAATAATTAATAAACTATTAATACTCAATAACCATATATGCTATTATTTAAATTTTCATACCGTTCAAAAAGTGCGGTGGTTAAAAATTTCAAAAATCGTAATAATCTGCAAAAACAGAATGCTAGCGGTCGGTGAATGCATAATAATATTACAAGAAAACCTTTTCGGAGCTGCTGCGGCTGGTCGGTGAAAAATATTCAGCCAATAATCTTCCGGCATATTTTGTTTCGATGTAATAGGTATTATTTAAACGGTAATACACATCGGTACGCCTGTATGTATAAATATTATAATAATACATCTAATACGCTTATAATATCCTAAAAGCAATAATGGCCCGGACCGGGGACGTTTTGTATATAGTTCAGCACGTAGTGGGACATTCGCGATATCAACTGAAAATATGAAACAAATATAGTATATAGCTACGGGCGAACGAGGCCGGAATATCAAGAATACAATGCGAATCGCCTGGTAAATTGGGTACGATTTTTATAAGAGCATAAACATATTCCGGCAAAAATAGTCCCTTATTATTATTCACTCGAAAGACATCGTTATGAAATTATTTTTTAAATTGATCATACCACATAATATAAAGTTACGGCTGGCATTAGCTATACTGAAACTCAAACGGAAGTACAGTCAACTAAATAAAACATTACATAGTTTATACTTTATACATCGAGTAGATTATCATAAAAATATTTAAAGAGTTGTAACACGTAATCTTACACTGTAGGTATGACGAACATTAATGAATAGCAAACTATTTAGTTTTGCGTTAACTCAAACTTATATTAATGAAAGTTCTAAACACATAAGAAAATTATTTGTCGTTTGCAATGATAATATACATTTTACTGACATATATTTTAAACATGAAAATGTTATTTTTTTTTTAATTTTGACTTTCATGTATATAATCATATAAATTTATAAAATTCTAAAATATTTAAAGAGCCTCGAGTGACACTAACTTAAGGGCAAAAAAAAAA